TCAAGAGCATGTATGCCTATCACAGAGAGACAGGAAAGACAGAGAGCAAGAGGGAGAGGCATGATCGTGCTGTAGTCCTCCATTTCTATGTCCTATGAGGATTTTACACATGCACACACATATGCCTGGCATATTTTTGAGTGCCAGTGTCCGGCTTCAAACTAGTCAGACATTTGGGACTTGGCTCCCTTAACCATTAGGCCATACATCCAGCCCAGTCAAAGCACTCCTCAACTGGTATTTTCTTGTGCAGCCTGTCCTGATTCAATGGTAGCTACCAAGTAAATTCTTTCCTTAGCAGGCACAGGGTAATCTTCCCTTGTCATCACCCTGTTTAAAATACTTCACTGTGAGGACCAACAAGTGGTGTAATGGTTATGTTGCTGGACTCCCACATAATCAACCACAGATCGAGTACCGGATCTGGAGGCTTGAAACTCAGAACAGGCATGCATACATGCCTAGAATCCTAAGAGGAGAAGGAATTGTAACATAGCCATCAACCTGTGGGGGTGATTTCTTGCTTTCTGTCTCTCTGTCTCTTTTTCTTGGGTGAGCACGTGTGCCCTATAGCAAAAATCTCTCTTAAAGAAATAAAAAGTTGTGTCATTTTACCCCTCAAATAAAATTTAGGAGCTTGGGGGCCAGCAGGTTGCATAGTGATTAATGGCACTGGACTCCCACATGGATGACTGCAGTTTGAATCCCGGATCTGATTGCTTGCTTTCTCACTTTCCCCCTCTCTGTCTCTCACTCTGTCCCTCTCTGGTCAAATTTAAATAAATAAATAAATAAATAAAGTTAAATAAAATAATGCTTTAAAAAATTAGGAACTTTAACATGGTTTACAAAACCATTTATGATCTTCCTCCTCTCTTAGGGCTCAAGGAACCCTGTTTCCACACTCTCTAGTCCAGCCATTCTCAGCTTATTGCAGATGCTTAAGTTACACCATACTCTCTTTCCTCCAAGCTGCTAATATGCTACTAGCCTCCTAGGAAACAGTCTTCCTTCCCCATTCCTGGAATACTTTTTCTTTTCCTGGCCAACGCCTACTCATCCTAAACGTTTCCACTTACCCATCACTCCTAGGCTTATGTGGGTCCTCTCGTCACACACTGACAGAACAGTTGGTGTTTCCCCTTTTGTCAAACCGATCACACTTGTGATTATTTTGATATCTCTATTTTCCTCCCTCATTCTATGATCTCACAGTACAGCATATGGCCATATTTAATAAGTATTTGTTGAATATATATGAATTACCATATAAGAATAACCTCAGTATTTCTGATATTTGAAAAAGTACTGGTCTAGATATCAACATGTATCAAAATATTTATTTACTTATTGAGAAAACTTTTACTATAGGGCACATGCATTCGCCAGAGAGAGGAGAGGGAAAGTGAGAAATTACCCACCCAGGGGGATAGTCACGTTACAATCCCTTCTTCTTGATTCTCCTCTCCAGACTTTGGGCGTTCATGCACATGTACTCAGTGTGAGTTTTAAGCCATTGGGTCTGGGGCTCAAACTGCAGTTGGCCATGTGAGAGTCTATCAGCTTAGCCACTACGTCACCTGCTGGTCCCAAGATATCCCACTAAAATATCAATATGTATCAATGTGTATCAATAAGATAAAATGTCCTGGAATAATTCATCAGCAATATGTTTTTATTTATTTATTTTTGAGAGAAATTTCTCTATAGAGCACGCATGGTCACCAGAGAGACAGAGAGAGATGGAAAGAAAGAAGTCATGCCCCAAAGAGGATGGCCACACCAATATCCTTTCTCCTCCATTCTTCTCTCAGAATTTTGGGCATTCATCCACATGCATTTGGAGTGAGTTTTGAGACACTGAGTCCAAGACTTGAACTGTGTGGGAGTCCAGCACCTCACCTTAACCACTACAACACCTGCTGGCCCCATCTGCTGACTTCTTTTTAAGCCTCACCCTCCCTTTTCCCTCTGCTCCAACATCTAAATAGGCTGAGTTAGACAGTCAGAGCCAGCCTATGGCCTGGTGTTAAGGGAGTTGTACCACCTGGCCAACCACACGGTAGAAATTCCAGTCCAGCAGCTTGAAAAACATGCCAGGCATGTGTGCAGGCATGCCACAAATACCAAGAGAATGGAGAAATAGAGGAATAGGGATTGCAGTATGACCAGACCCCAGTTGGGGGCAATTTCTTTCTCTCCCTCTCTCTGTCTCTCCCTGGTGAGTGCATGTGTCCTTTGGAAGTTAAGAAAAATAAAAAAGGAAAAACAAAGCCAATCCTGTACCTCCTTATTGGACATCCTTGGGACTGAAATCCCTCAAATTTCCAGCCCATATAAGTGGGAACTTTTCCCTGGACCCAGCCTCACTGCCTAACAAGGAAAAAAGCTCAACCCACTCTCTTTGCTTTGGTCAACTCAACCTGTATCTTCCTGGGAGTGTCTGTGTGAGTAATACATGTCCCAATGTTCCTGGAGGGTCGAGTATCATCCTCCTCCTCACCTGAACAGAATGACCGAAAACACTCATGGGGGTAACGAGTGATATCATTGGAAAAAGGAACTATTTTCTAAGGTCAATTTGTTATGTGAGACAAGAAATAATGTAATCGTATACTTATAATCATGTGTATCATTCAGATATAGTCTCTTGAAACTAAGAGTGAATATATTCCTTTAAAAAAGTGCCACAGGGGTAAAAGTGTATAGGGGAAAATATGTAAATAGTCCCCCCAAATAAAATAATATAATATTGTATTAGATCACTGTTTTGACTATACATTTTCTAACAGCAAAATTATATATACTGAATTACTACATGAGAAATACTGACATATTATGGTCTTGATTTCTTTCCTTTTTTATTCTTACTAAGTAAGTGTCTCCTAAGCAACCTCCTAAACAATTATTCTATATTTGCGAGAAGGCTCCAGAAGAATGAATATATTCAGGTTCTTGCATCCTAATCAGATCATGAATTAATAAATTGGCAGGATCAGAGTCATAGTCAACAATCTCCCTTAGATTTCTACCTACCAGGTCTCTAGAGTGAGAGAGAGTTAGGAGATTTTGGCAACACTTTGAGTTTATTTTTGATTTATTCATTTCTCTATTGAAAATCTCTCTCTACTAACATACTCAATACATTTCATTCTCAAGCATTTCTGTTGATAGAAACCTAAATTTTCAATAAAGTGACTCTTCTGTAAAGGGGAAACAGTACCAAGGAGATACAGGCTATTCTCCATTCAATATCTTTCCTCCACTTCCTGTTTCTGGTACATCCATTTCACTTCTAATGTTAGTGTTTTTAGAGTTTTCTTGTTTTAAATAAATTCATCCTTCAGTAGAATAATTACTTTATCTTGTTTTCAGAGAGGTGAAAATACACTCAGAAAGGAAAATAATGGGCAAAATAAGGAACATAAACTTGCAGATGGTGGTCTCCATGGTGTAAAAGTTACAGGAGGTATTTGTTTCTTTTATTAATCATTTCATTTTAAATCCAAGAAGCTGTGCAAGACAAACGGAAGATGTGGGCACGGATGACAAGACAAAGAGGCTAATACACTGCGGAATGCTTATACCACTGAGAAGAACAGACCAGCCTAAACTGCTTTCTGGAAACGGCACAGGCAGGTGAGCCCAGGCGAGTCACTATCAGGCTAAGCAATGCACTGACGGTGAAGAAGAATAATGCAATCAGCTGCTCAAAATAGCACGAGTGCTGCAACATATTCAGTGTTCATAAATCTAATCTGTTAGATAAGTTAAAGGTCATCTCATCCAATGTCTTGCTTTGGATCATCTTAATTAAAAAAATAATAATAATCTACCATGAATTATCTTAGTTGAACTGCTGGTTAAAAAATAAAACAAAACAAAACACAAACTTGGGACCAGCAGATGGCATAATAGTCACATTGCTGGACTCCCACATAGTCGACCACGGTTCGAGTCCTAGATCCAGGGATTAAAACTCATACTGGGCACATGTGTGTGCATGTTCGAGATCCTGAGAGGAGAATAGAGGAGAAGGTATTGCAGCATGGCCATCCCCCTGAGGAGTGATTTCTCACTTTCTGTCTTTCTCTGTCTCTCCGGCAAGCACATGCACTCTCAGAGTAAAAATCTCTAAAAACGAAAACAAAAACCACAAACTTTTTTACTTGGTGATAGTCACTAAAATAATCTGATAAACTGATCCTTATGACATAACCAAGGCAATTTAGATTGCGTCAACTGTCAAATTTTTACTTGCATAAACTTCCCTTAAAAATAAATAAGGGCTCCTTTTTAAAAAAAAAATTAGTTTTTGTTTGTCTGTTTTTGTTATAAGGTGTATGCACTTATCAGAGAGAGAAAGAAAAGGAAAGTGGGAAATCACCCCATGTCCGAGGGTATGGCTTCACCCTCCTCCATTTCCTTCTCCTCTGTTCCCCTTCTCAGGATTTTGGTCCTATATGCACACATGCCTGGCATGTTTTTTAAAGTGCTGGATCCATGACTCAATCTGCACAGCTGGCTATATGGGATCTGGCCAACTTAATCACCCAAAAGGCTGTCCCAAAGAGCTCCTTTTTCAAATATTTTTTAAATAATTATTTTATTTAACTTTATTTTATGTATTATTTACTTATTTTTAATTTGACCAGAGAGGGACAGAGAGAAAGAGACAAAGAGAGAGAGAGAGAGACAGAGACAGAGAGAGAGCAAGCAAGCTGCCAGGTCCGGGACTTGAACTGCAGTTGGTCATGTGGGAGTCCAGAGCCCTTAATCATCATGACACCTGCCGCCTCCCTTAATATGTATTTTTGACTCTGACATTTTTCCTTCTTATTTGTAAAGTATTTCATTCTTCCATTGCATTGTTTTGTGCTTCAAACTGACAAAAATATTAGTGAGGAATAACAACCCTTCTAAAAGATATCACATCAGGCCATGATGTGCTGTATCCTCTTTTTATAACAATGAAGCATGAAACACTTGTCAAAAGTTACCTTCTTGATGGTCTCCAACATGGAACGTCCTCCCTGCCAGGGCTTCGAGTTCTTTCTGATACATGACAAACTTGCCATGCTGTGCCACTTCCGGTCCTCCAGCTTCTTATGAAAAGCATTGGCAAGCAGAAGCACCGTGTCATATATGTAGAGGTTTGAAATCTGAAAAGACATTAGACAGTTATCATTAGAAGCATTGACACCAGCCATCGAGAAAAGGAGAAAATGACCAGTTTGGTTGCTTCTGTTCCTGTCATAAATGGCTAGTGTACTGCGTTATTTATTAAGCAGAAGTTTCTTTTTCATTTCCTGGACAATTTTACTATGAGAATGAAGCCTTGTCTGATTGTATGCCTCAACTGCTTTTTCAGCTTATTTAGGTGTGAAAGACAAGATAAAAAAGAAGTTTCAACAGAGGCAAGGCTGTTAGTGTCAGACGTTAGAAAAATCACTGGCCCTTATTTCTTTCTAAGGAGCTAAAGATCTAAGGGCTTCCGATTGGAAGGGCGAACTGAATAATGCATTTTCCGAATATGTCAAGTTCTTGGCATTCTGCTTATTCTGATGAAGAAATAGCAACTCAATCCTACATATAAGATGAGTGTCTTAGGTGCTGTGTGGTGCACATTTGTGTCTATGGGGAAGCTGTAATGAAAAACATAAAATTGAACAGAACCATTCACGAATATTACAATGACAAGGGTCGTGTACAAAGTTATATAGGTATGGACGTGCACTGCACATTCCACATTAATTGGCATGACAAATACCGTAACTACTAACTGTTGTGAATGTGAATGTGAATGTTCATATCAACACTTTTGTCTTCTAAGACAATCATGTTGTCATCTTCTTTCTCTATAGGTTGAACAATGAATTCTAACCCATTTTTGCTGGGGACTACTGCAGTCTTATAATGAAGGTGTGACAGAATGCCTGTCCATTAATTATTAAAAGTGCTTCTCTTTCAAAGAAATTAAAAATAATTCAGAAACCACAAACACCAAAAAGGGCTCTCGGTCAATAATCATTGGTAAATGTTCTATAATTACCTCCAGGAAGGAAACATCTGATAGAAAATTAAAATGAGAAATCACTGTAGCATTGAAAATTGATTCTAATTAAAGCATTCATATTTTCTCAGATTTTAAAAATTATCTTGTTATCACAGTTTTATTTTTTTTCCCCTAAAAACAAAAGAGAGAGTATGTGGAATGTCCTTTGGTTATAATTAATCATGAAGAAACGTATGCAACAGTCTTCCACATTACAGAATGGTCCCAAGCTTTAACTGTTGGGATAATTAGAGTTCAATGTTATGCACAGCTGTTAATAAGAGCTTCCTAATGGTGCCTTGTGCTTTCCTTTCATATTCCTACACATCTTTAATCCTTTGTGTTTGTCAGCATCATTTTACACGGGTAATACTTACGAAAGGTAAGTCTTTCTTTGAAGAGAACACTCCCATGCCTTATGTAAAATATGTTTCTCTTCTTAATAAAGGAACATTAGGGCTGGGTCCATTCACCCCCAACCCACACTCACTCCACACTGCCAGATAAGTACTAAAGAGATTAGGAGAGAATATCTGAAATCTGCTACAAATGAAGTGTGAGACTTGAAATTAAAAGTAGTCTGTACAGGGGCAAGCAGGTAGCATGGAGGTTAGGGCTCTGGATTCCCACATGGCTGACCATGGTTCAATTCCTGGACCAAACTTTCTCTCTCTCTGTCTCTCTCTCTGGTGAGCACACATACCCGATAGCAAAATTAAATAATATTAACAAATAAAATTAAATAAATAATTCTTAAAATAAAAGTAGTCCATTCATGAAAATTCAAGTTGGGACTAGACTGTGAAGACCCAGAAAAAAAGTGCAAAGGAAACTCAAAGGATGAGTGGGTTGCACTCAAGAATTTAGGAAATGATTTTGACAAACTTCTCAAATGATATGCAGTTATCTGGCCTTTTCTAACCTTTCCTGACTCCACTGCTTCAAACCTGCGTGCTCTTCTCTCTCTGGCTTTATTTTGCTTCTCACTTGGACTGAGTGCTGTAAGTTGCAGGTGAGACTGTCATGGTAGCATTTTTACTTTCTCTTTACTGTCTGCTTCTAGTGAACGTCCCTCAAAATTCAGCTCAAAACTTACAAGCTAGAGAATCCTACCCTCACAACTCATCTTCTGTTCTCATCCTAGAATACACTGACCCCTTGTATCTCCCAGACTCCTTACTACAAACTTTTACTGAAACATTTCAAATGCTAAGATTTCTTCATCTGTCCTTCACATTAGAATATGAGTTACTTCTTGGGGCCGGCAAGTGGCATGGTGGTTAAAGGCGCTGGACTCCCACATGGCCGACCACAGTTCAAGTCGCGGACCTGTTGGCTTGCTTTCTCACTTCCTCTCTCTCTCTCTCTGTCTCTCTCTGATCAAATTGGAAAATAATAATGATAATAATAATAAAGTTGAATAAAATAATTCTTAAAAAAAAAAAAAAAGAATGAGTTACTCCAAATACGGCCACGTATTTTACATCTTGTCTTCCCCATCTGCTTTATTTCCCTACTTTTTTTTCCTTCAACTTAGCCTGGAGCCTCACACGTGTTTGGCTTTTGATAAACAGCTGTCAAATATAAGAAGACAAACAATAGGAAGAAAGAGGAAAAAGAAACTCAAGTTTAAAGACAGGAAAGTCTGATAAAGGTCAAGACATGAGAGATCTGGCAAATTTGGTCCTGTGCAATCCTGACACTTGCATGGCACAGACTCTTGCACACCCTCCGGGCATGTATTTGAGCAGCTGTGCTAGTCTTAAAAATGAGTGCTTTGGGGACCAGCAGATGGTATGATGGTTACGTCGCTGGACTCTCACATGGACAACCATGGTATGAGTCCTGGAACCGATGCTGGGCATGTGTGTATGTATGTCCAAAGTCCCGAGAGGAGAATGGCAGAGAAGGCCTTGCAATGTGGACATCCCCCCGGGAAGTGATTTCTCACTTTCTGTCCCTCTGGTGAGCACATACACCTGATAGCAAAAATCTCTCAAAAAAAACCAAAAAAAACAAAAAAAACAACCAAAAACGTACTTTGCTACCAATATGTGTAGGGTGTTTTCAACAAACAATTGCCTCTTCTAATCTGTCCACTTTCCAAACTGCAGGATCAAAATATGCAGGTGGACCAGTCTATGGCCTGGTGGTTGAGGAAGCTGGATTCCACCTGGCTGACTGCTCGGTTCAAGTCCCAAACACACTGGGGGTGTGTGCATTTTTCAAGAGGGAAGGATGGAGGATGGATTGCGCATGAATATTCTCCCCATGGGAGGTGTTTCCTCCTTCTCTCTGTCTCTCAGTCTCTCAGTCTCTCTCTGGCGAACACATGGATCCTCTGGCAAATTGAAAAAGGATAAAAATAAGAATAAAAAGTAGGGATGACATTCTCTGAGCTCTCCATTACTCCTACAATCAGTTCCTTCTTCCTCAGGCAAGCGTCCATTCTCTAGAGGTTCACAGTCTCTCCCACACCACACCTCACTGTTCCTTTCTGCCACCATCTATTAACTTTGGGTCATGATTTATTCACGAGGTCTTGACTCATAGCAGTCCCAAACTATTAGGTTGTCAGGAAAGTCATGCGTATTTTCCTGTATTTTCCTATGCAGAAATGCGTCATGAGTTTCCAGGGAGACTTTAGAGGTGGTGGATGTTTGTATGCTGCCAATGATCATTATGTTGGTTGTGGCCAGAATAGAAGTGGAGATCTTTTATGTGGAAAATGATGTGGCTTGTTGAAGCACTAAAAGATATTTTTCTTTTTCCTTTTTTATTTTTTCAATCTAAGGCCAGAGTCCTTACTATTTTCTGCCCTTAGGAACACTTTGGTAAAAAATATTGAAGTGGACTCAACCTATCCTAGATATTTCAGTGCCTTCCCTAAGGATGTCATAAAAATATTTGTCTAATACCATATAAAAATCAACATACATAGCTTTATGACATCCTCTCAACCGTAAAACACCTATTATCGAGTGTTTAGTTTGGCGATGTTTGTTCGTAACAAAAACTTACTGTTTTATTTAAAGAGCCCAAACCATCTTATTCAATAATATATTGAACAGCTTGTGTAAATATTTGCATTTAATATACTAAACTCTGATTGTCAGGATCTTTTCTCCTTCTTTTTTGAAAACTAGGACAAGATACCAATCCCTTGTTCTTGAGTTCTTTTGCTAAGTCTTTTTCTATAGTTCTAAATTGCAATATTGGGATTGAATCTGCACATTTACTGACTGTTTTGAGCAATTACTTTAAAAAGTCAGGCATTCTCTTACTATCTCCAAGCCTCTGATCCTTCAAACCAGAGGTCACTTCCCTTCTAATGACTTTTACTCTAACCTCCCTAGTTTGAAGACAATTTTTCTGGGATGGAGAAAACAGAAGCAAAGAGACATGAAAGCTTCTGTTCTCTCCATTACAGCAAAGTTAATATCAATATGACCAGTCAGTAAATGAGTCATGTGTTTCTGATTTCATTTACCACTAAAAACTCTTTCCTAGGTAAAAGCTTTATTATTTCACAACTTTAGCAAATCCTAGATTTTAGTTTTTTCAACACCAACTTAAAAATGTATGAAACTTGTTTCTTTTCTTTCTAAAGTTTGCGTCATTTTCTATGTACTTAGGACAAGTAGCTTCTCAGAGATCTTTACCCAGACCCACTGTAGCCTCTTCATCTCTCTTTACATACATTCATGCGATTTCATGGTTGGGTCTCTAGTTTTAGAGTTCACTTCAGTCATATTGATATGCTTTAATTTTGTGGGCAATTATTTTTCACATTTCTTTTTTTTTTTATTGCCAGAGATGGAAGAGCTTGCCAGGGGGTGAGGGAGAGAGAGAGAAAAAAAAAAAGACAGAGAGAGAGAGAGAGAACAAGCACCCTCAAAGCAGGGTACATGGTCACACTGCAGCACTTTTTCCTTCATGTCTCCATCCTGTCTAGATTTGGGGTTTGTACACACACATAACTAGCATGTTTTTCAAGACACAGGGGCTAGGATCCAAACCACAGTCTGCCATGTGGAATCCAGCTCCCCATGCGAAGCATTTAATTGCTGTGCAATGGAGCGGGCCCTCTGAATTTTTAAAATTGCATCATTCTGAATTCTGAGGTATGTGTCTGACTGTGTTCATCTTCACCTGCATTGTTTTTATGAAAGACTCCAAGTTAAGAGGGTCACTTCTCCCAGGGAAGCTCCTACTCTGAAATTACCAGTCAGTGGTTATCTTGATCAAAATATAATCTAAAGAAGAATTTTATTTAGTTGCTTCCTCTAAATTCAGTGAGATAAAACTTGTCACCAAGGCAAGGATGCTGCATGTCAAATGATCTGCCTTTAGTGGAACATGTTAAATTCAGGAGCCCTGTTTTCAGTTAATTACATAAATCTTCACATATAAAGTTTCTGTCAGGTTTCCTTTTATATATTAAATATTTAGTCAAATTTTATCACACACAAAAGAGAAGTTAATATGTAACAAATCTTCAAAGAAAAAGCAGTTGTCCTGTTTTCTTCCATTTGACTGTGTTTGGAGGGAGTGTAGATATGGGTTAGGGTGAGGGGCGGGGCTTCTTGTCTTTCTGTACATACTAACGCATCAGATAAGTTTGGGAATATAGAGGTAAATATAACACTTTTCCCCCCTGATTTCATGGACCTCAGCAATTGAAATGGAAGAATTTGGTGTTAGACAAATGTGCTTTAAAAAGCTTTCCACTTTCTCTAAACGGCACGGTTAGTAATTTTTCTTCAGTTTGTATGTCATTTCTTGCTACTTCTTTGGACAGGAACAGTATTTAATATTTTATAATTTTCTAAATCAATAATGTTTCACATTCTCCTCCATTTACCATTTTCACATCAATTATACTCATGACCAGTTAGCATGCAAAGAAGAGCCACTATAAGCATGTCAGGCACGGCAGCACTGAATGTAAACAGAGCTGGTTAAGCTCCAGAGTGCCTTTCTCTGACCAAGGCCTTCTCTATAATCCCATTCAAACCCACGAATATTCACCAAGGAGCACAGCACTGTGGTAGGTATGGCAGAGAAAAGGACAGGGAAGAATTTTATGAGATTTTTTGATGCCTTGACCTGCAAGGGACCTATTCTAAAAGAACTTAAAATCTAGTAGGGAGTGCCGGTAGGTCATGGTGTGGTGAAGGCACTGAACTCCCACATAGCCAACTGCAGTTTGAGTCTTGGACCTGACAGCTTGCTTTCTCACTTTCCCTCTCTCTCTCTGTCTCTCTCTTGTCATATTAAATAATTATACTAATTAATAGAACTAAATAAATAATTCTTTAAAAAATAATCTAGCAGGGAACAAAAAATTATATGGGCAATGATCCTGGAGCCATACTGATCATTACCTCATCCTAGTAAGGATGAAGAAATGGATGGATAAATGGTAATTCATCTATAAAAAATATTTAAAGGTGGTGAAGTATGAGAAGGCTGTGGGGTTATCTTTCCAGAGGAAAAGTAATTTTGCAAAATCACCTTATTTGTCTAGTATTATTGGAGATGAACTAGTCTTCCTGGGGATATATTTCCAAGCTGTCAAACAGAACATCGCTAAGCACGAAAATATTTTCCATAGTAAGCATTTTAAAAGTATAGGCCTCTGAAATAGATCATGTTTTTCTGACTTCTACAATTGACCATGACTTTAATTTTTGCTGATACCTCAGGGTGATTGCTTAAATATTAACTAATAAGTTAGTGTTATACTACAGAGAAACCCTTAGGAACTGTCTTATGACAGATTTGTTTTTATAGGAAAAGCCCGATGCTCATAGGCTATATGAGCTTGCTTATTTCATTGATTTCTCTTTTCTTGTCTTTTGCCTTGCTAGAGAGAGCTTCTCAAGGTTCCCTGCTGCTGTCAGTGTGACTGCTTTTTATAACACCCCCTTCAAAATGACATATTGAGATCTTCAGTGCAAAGAGAGAAAGAAAATCTGATAAGATTTCCTCTAAGAAAAAGAGAATCCAAGGGAGTATTTAAAGGGCATTCTTATGAGTCAGCTGCCAGGACTTCGCTATTTTTTTGTTCAGAGATTCTATTTATTTACTTTTAAATTCTTTGCTGTCTTCTGACGGCTAAGGTTTCAGTCACATGCTATCTGAGTTGGACATGACTGTGTAGCGCTCTAGTATCTTTTGCATTTCTAAATAGTGTTTTGCTGAATTCTTCTTGTGCGAGACTAATCATTTAGAAAAGAATAAGCATCTATCTCCTTGATATGCCAGAAAAGTCAAGCAAATTTATTAGCTTAGTAATTTGGAATTTGGCAGTAGGAGTAGTAATTGCAAATTCTACCACAGGAAATGCTATGGATCTACTTGCCTAGAAAGAAATAACCTTTACACATATTTTTATTAAACAAGTGGATATGTTTCTATAATGAGATAAAAAGGATCAAAGACAGATTCTTAGCTCTCTGTCCTCATCAGACTGATGAAATTGTCGGAAGAGGTGAACTGTTCGGAAGTGATTACATATATAATTCTGAATCTCATGGGGTTCCTGTGCTCTGTTTACTATTGCCCAGTAAAGTAGCCTTTAGAAATAACTGAGTGTTTAGAATATACCTCCATATTCTGAGCAAATGGATCCTTTGGATCACACAATGTTGAAGATATTCGATGGTTGCCACGGAAACATCTCTGACTTATATTCTGGGGGACTGGAAATGTCTGTCGAATAATCGTTAACCTTCCAATTGACCTTCTTACAAGTTCCTGTACATCCACATCGTTTATTTCCTACAAAGATAAGATAAAGTAAGTGAAAGAATTAGAAACACTTTAATACAGTCCCAGAAACACAAAACTATTTGTGAGCCTGCTATCTGGAAATGCTTAGGGCTGCAGTTACTGTAATACATTCGTTCAACGCTTAGCACCCATCCAGATGAAAACAACCCATGTTCATTACAACGATCAGCTCATCTGCACTTACGGTCTGTGCTTTACATTATGTTCATTAACAAATCATTCTAAATGGAGCAACTGACTCTAATACACTGAATGACAGTTTCAGAATTTATTCTGTTGGAGATTTTAGAAAAATAGAAGTATGGTCAAAATATTGAACAAGGTCACACACTGAGTTGCTGTTATAGTTTAGTATTCATGAATCCATTTCATGAATACTTTGAGTACATCAGAAGATAGTTGCAATGTAACTGTATTATACTATATACAGTTCTTAGCAATGAAAAAGGAGGCTTTTAAATGAGGTAAGTAAAGAAAGCAAGGGAAAATATTATTTTTTAAAGACGTTTCCTAATTATCTCTTAGAACTATCAGTGCCGATTCATAGGTTTCTCTTGGTAAAAAACAGATTAAACAAAGTGCTCGCTAACAGGTGAATAGTTAAGTCTATAATGTGGTCTTGACATAAAGATGCAAAATTCTGTAGTTTAATATAGTCTGGACCAAAATGAGTGAAGGGAGAATTCAATGCTCCTTCTCTAAATTAATTTTATCTTGTATATGAGTGTTTGTCAAACTCAAACAGGATTTCTACTTCCTTCTTGTCCAGCCTTTCGACTGCAGATTTAAATGATAAAATTGTGCTCAGTTTTAGGTGTACAAGTAATAAAACTAAAATAATACCTCTATAACACACATCTGTTCTAATTGGAATTAGTCGGAATAAAAGTGATCCAAATAAATGTTCACCTTAGGTGGTCTTTACTAAAGCAATTAGTGCTTCATAGTGTCCATCTGTAATCTTTAAACCAATGAAGCCACTGAAATAAACATATTATTGGTTTGAAGAGATTCTTATGGCAACAGACATGGAAGGTTTAACACAAGGTACTCTTTGGACTGCTATGAGCATTGCTCAGTTTCTACCCAAGCAATTATTCCAGAATAATGAAAGAGAAAAAGACAACCCAGAAAAGTAAATTTTCTCCCCCCCCATTACACTGATTACATATTATTCTTCCTTGACAATATATCAACTTTAGAAGTCAACATTTATTTATGATCTTTCTGAAATACAGATTTTTCTGAAAATAAATAACACCTGCCATCAGCTGTATCTAGTGTAATATCCTGGATTTCTGGGTGAATGGGTCTTAATGTACCATAAAAAAATGTTTTCTCCTCCATTTAAAATGTCATCTTTCTTCTTTAGACTGTGTCATTTCACTGGCCACCAAAACCTCTGTCAGACAAAGAGCAAGTCATCTTTAATTCTCTATCTTCTCGTCATAAAGCAGAATTTAACAGTGTTCTGTCAACTCCATGTTAAGCACTAACCTTAACCAGAAAAAATGTTAATATTTATTAATATTAATATTGCTATTCAATGTTTTTTCAATTTTTTTAAGTTCTATATTGTACAAACAGGAATTTTCATGTAAGATGCAATGGAAAATTATACCACTTTTCTCATGAAATTAACTAAGTTGGCATTATTCATGTGGTCTTTCTTTCTTTTTTTTTTAATCTATTGCTAATGGGCACATGTCCTCACCTAAGAGAGTGAGAAAGGAGAGAGAGAACTGCCCCCATGGGGTGTGGTCATGCCATATTCCCTTTTCTTCCATTTCTCCTCTTCATCAGGATTCTGGACACAACCACCCACACTTGCCCAGCATGGTTCTAAGCTACCAGAGCTAGTATTCAAACTGGCCATCAGCCACTTGGGATCCATAGTGCTTAATGGTGAGGCTGATTCAGGGCCCTGTTTTCTTAAGCAGTACTAGGATTTATCAAACAGCACCATCTCTGTCAACACCACCCAGAAGGAATGGAAGATCAGCACAGTGGAGCCGAAAGACACAGTCTATTGACTGCTAAAAGTTAGGCAAAACATTGAACATTTAACCTATTATCTCATTGTCTGCTAAAAGAAAAATTAAAAAAAAAAACCACTATGAATCAGACACTGTTTATGCTCATTCTATAAATAAAGAACCAGGGAGATCCCAAGCTCCTCATTCAAAATACGTTTTATTCATAGGATGAGTTTATAAATGTCATCACAAGAAATACTCTCTGAAGTAATTACACAAAAAGTCTATATTTCCTTACAGGAATTGCTTAGATTAATATTTATGAATGATAGGAATAAAAAGGGTAAAGGTCTGTTATTTCTGAATTTAATAGCTTGATGATTATGTAAGGAATAATAAAACAATCTATCATGAACCAAAGCCTTTGAGGGGACTATTTACAAACCTATAGAAAAGTATGGCTACCTTTTATAGGTTCCCAAACTGGAGTTCTCGAGTGCCAAAGCAACTAAGTTCTATCTGAAGACATGTCAATTAGAGTTGAATATGTATTTCCTAGTATTATTTGGGGAAGGGAAAGGAAAGTAATTTTCAAGGAGGAAAGAACTGCCATTCTGAGTGAAACTAACAGACAGTCTGTTTCAAAAAATTAACTTGCAATTTTAGTTTTGACACCTGATCTCAAAAACAGTTTGATAGCGATATGAAAACTTAATTAGGCAACTATTTTATATTTATGGAACTTTACTCCTGCATTTCAAAAGGTGCATTTCAAGAGGGACAGAAGCAATGCTAAATAAATACTGAAAGACAAGAGATCACTTAATCTATACAGACATCTTTTTAAATGGAAAAATTTCATAAGGAAATATCTGCATCAAAATGTAAAACTATGTGTGTACAATCTATTTACTCTGAGTTTTAAAAATGTTGACATTGTCAGATTTTTAATGAGAATCAGGTGAAAGACTAATTTTACCAAAGAAATCTGAATTATAAAATTATTCGTCTTTCTTGTATTCTTTATTTGATTCAGCATAACATATTTTTGAAAGTAAAATTAATATTGTTACAAAAATAAATACGCTTTAGTATACCTAACTTTTCTTCTTGATTTTTTTAGGAGCAAAGCATACAGTCTTTTTCCCCCCAAAACATAATTTATCTGAATTATCAAAGTTACCAAGAATCAAGTTAGTGTGCCCAAGAATACATTCTCAGTCAGTTCACTCTCATAGTTTAACAGAGGCTGAACCCTGAATTTTGCATGACCAAGGAAGAAAAAGGAAAGCTAACATACCTGCTTGGGATAGAACTTGATGATAACCACTTCCTAGAACAAATCTCTCAGAAGAACTGAATCATTCCTGAATCTTTGTAGTCTATAATCCTTAGGTATAAAGTAATAGAATCCTGGAAGCCAGCAGGTGGCATAGTGGTTAAGGTGCTGGATTCCCACATAGCTGACTGTGGTTCAAGTCCTGGATGCAGAGACTTGAAAAATCACACTGGACTGTGGTTCAAGTCCTGGATGCAGAGACTTGAAAAATCACACTGGGCACATGTGCATGCGTGTGACGGCCATCCTCTGGGGTGATTTCCCATTTTATCCTCTCACTGTCTCTCTCTGGTGAGCGTAAACAAAAGTCTATGGCAAAGCCTAAAATAATAATAACAATAATGATAATAATTAATGACTTCAGGGGAAGAAAAAACCCTCAAAACCTACTAGATCAATATGGCCATCTAGCTTATTTCTTTTTTTACCTCCTTCTCCCATTCTTTTACCTCTTGGCATCTAATAAAGTTTCTGTCTCATAGCAAGGATTCCACAAACGTTAATTATTTAAAATCTTAACGAATGGCAAGATTTTACCAAACTGTCTTCTAAAGACTAATACTTGAAATTTGATTTCTAGACTTTTGGATGCTTTTAAGATATTAATCCTGAGTAAAGCAGATTTTAGAAATAGGATTAAGCAGTCTATTCTGTGGTACTTTGGGGGGAAAATATGCTTTTTTTTTTCTTTTTTGCTAATATATTTGAAAAAAACCCTGATGCTTGCATACAGTTTAACATTACTATGAAACAATTATGCAAACATCATGTTGAAATGTGAAACAAAACCAACTGTAGGCTATATACCAACAAGCAGAGGAACAGAATGGCAACTTTCTGCTTGACAGATTAGTAACCATCAGTTCAATTCATCACTAAAGTAGAAAAAAATGAAAAGCAACCATTCCCTATACAGGCTTTGTAAATCTTAAAATAACAACAAAATCCCCATCAACAACTTCCTCATTAACTGCAACCCATGGCAGCAGTTAAGGAAGAATAATGGCTTCCACTATTTAAATAAGAAACCAGTAAAATCCTATCAGGATACCAAAGTCAGGTCCAGTCTTATCAGGAAATAGAAAGCATTCTGCTTCTTACAACTCTAAATAGTGCATATCTTCCTATCTGAATTTCTAACTTTCCTAAAACTTAAATAAAGTGCTGGGCCATCTGCTCCAGGGCCCTGAAGGGATGCTGTTACTTATATGGAAAGTCTGTTTTGAGCCGGATCCACTGATTGCAGAGAGAAGATAAATACCATTACCAAGTACTAATGCATGATGGATTGCAGCATATGAGCCAGCACAGCCTCTCATTATTATAGCACACTTAATGCAGATGAAAAAAATATACTGTTTTCAAATTTCTACATCAATTTGTACCATGATGCACCATGCCAACTTTGATTTATAGTCCCTCTCTAAAAAAACTATTGGTGCAATAATATTAAATAAAAGTTTGCAACCCATTTTAAAATTAGTCACAAAATAATAGTTATATAAACCAAACTAGACAGATTTCTGTTTCCCATGTTCAGTCAAAATGGGCATTTGCATGTCGGTGGCCATTTAGTTGTTACTTATACGGTGTATGGTGTATTAGCTTGCTGGTACATCTTGCTAGTACATCCACGTTTTTTCTTCTAGGGAAACTAAGTTAAATTATGATGTATCCATTATTATTCTCTGATGGATAAATAAAATCTGTATAAACAAGCGCCCAGATGAAAATGTGTAAGAAACGGGCAAGAATCAAGTTTCCTGAAGTCTATCTCAGAATGAGCGGGTTGTATGGAATCATGTGGAAGTCCCAGGTTAGGTGACTGTGGTTCAAATCTTGGCCCTGGAGGTTTGAAAAGCATACCAGGTGTGTGTGCATGCATACACTAAATCCCCACAGAATGGAGAAAAGGAAGAGAAAGAATTGTGGCATGACTATGCCCCATTGCAAGAGGGCGGAATACTCTTTATCTCTCTCTGTCTCTTTGGAAAGCACATGTGCCTTCTGGCAAAAAGGAAAAGAGAGGAAAGGGAAGGGAAGGGAAGCAAAGGGGAGAAAAAGGAGGGAAGAAAATAAAACAAAGACAAACACTAGTGGGATAAATGGCTCTCATGAGATCATAACTGAGATGATAGAAATTTCAAAAGTATAATCCATGAGGAGAATTATAAAAAACAAAACAGAGTTTGAAATCCCATGATCAACCCTTGAGTTGTGTAGTATCTGGAAAATTGTGTAATTTCTTTGAACCTTAGTTTCTTGGCAGAAAAACAGAAATAGAAATATCTAATTGGGAAAGTTATCTTGAAGATACTCTAAGTTCACTTCCCTTTTGCCCTTTTCTCTCTCCTGATATTTAGGTTTTCTAGAAGGAAAGTCTAGGTATTGGAAAAATTAGAAGATATCAGAACTTCATTGAAAAGGAGATCTCATTCATATGCACCGCCTGTGAGCTCAGGAAAACACATCTTAATATGAGAAGGTCAGTGATGTATCACAGAGACCTCAAGTTTCACGTACAGAAACTGGATTTGTAAGATGTTTCCAGTGTCTTCTTATTGAGCTAATGGAACCATTCTGTTGGAGAAACAACTTGAAAGTGGGAATTAAATTTACTTCAGTCTATAGAAAGAGGCAAATCATTTATTCTCTATGGACTTCATTTTCTCAGTACTTCACAGAATAACATCTAAAGCTAACATAATAAGGCATGAGGAAGATATCTGTGCCATTAATATCATGTGATCATTACCCTGGTACCATTTACAGTGCCGTTTTTCAGGCATCATGTAAAGAGCATTAAATACGCTCTCATTTAATTGTTATCATGAGCCTATCAAGTACGTTACTGTACGTACAGTGCAAATGCATGAATGGAGGCATAGGCAGACCATACTACCTGTGAGAGCATAGCTAACATTTTTGTTTGTTAGTTTTTCAATCACCAGAGAGTGCGTATACCTTCCAGAGAGAGAGACAAAAAGACAGAGAGAGAGGAAGGGAGGGAAAATACTTCTCAGTAGGGTATGGTCATAACATACCCTTTTCCTCCATTTCTCCATCATGTTGGGATTTCAGGCACACATGTACATGTGCCCAGTGTGTTCTCAAACTCTCATGGCCAGGATTTGAACCATAGTTGGCCATAAGGGACCCAACTCCCTTAACCACTAGGCCATGGGGCAGACCCTAACTAAATTATTTGTCTGTCTTTCTTTTTCTTTCTTTCTTTCTTTCTTTCTTTCTTTCTTTCTTTCATTCATTCATTCATTCATTCATTCATTCATTTTCTTTTTGCCATAGAGCATTGTGCCTGCAAGAGGTGGGGAGATGGGGAAGTAAGAAAGGATCCTCCACAGGGGAAAGTTATGCTACAATCCTTTCTTGTTTCTTTTTTTCTCCTTTTGAGATTTTGGGTATGCATGCACACTCACCCAGTGTTTTTCAAACCACTAGGGAATAGTGGGCCCTGGGCCCTGTGGGATCCACTTACCTCTTTTTTTTTTAAAGAATCATTTAGTAGTATTTTTAAAAAAAATTGCTATGGGACATGTGCACAAGAGAGATAGAGAGAGAGAGAGCGAGCTGCTAGGTCCAGGACTCAAACCACAGTGGGCCATGTGGGAGTCTAGTGCCTTAATGACCATGACACTTGCTGGCCTCAGGATCCTTGACTTAACCATCAGACCACTAGCTAGCCCCTTAACTAAATTATATAGTCAGGATTGAGCTTATTTTGCTGACTGCAAGACCAGAATACTTACCCAAAATATCATTTTGTCCCTAAACAAATATTATCCTGCAATTCCATAGTTAGTATCTATAGATAAATAATACATTATCCTCATGTACAAATGATCAGTATGATTTAACACTACATCTTGTTGAGGACAAATCCCCACGATTGCAGTATTTGTCCCTGACTCATCAGCTCATTGTCCTTTGGGATCCTGGACTGGCAGGTGCTAATGGAACCACTTATTTCACAGGGCTCTCGGGGTTGGAATATATTTTTAATCTTATGTATTATTTTTGCAAAAATCCAAAAAAAAAAAAAAAAAAAACCTCTTACAAGGAGTTTGACAAGTCTATGAATTTTAAAACAGTTATACTTCTTTATGAAAAGGGAAAAAATCTGTTCTCTGTTTATTCATATTCATATGCTGAACTATTTAATCCTCGTGTATGAGGGGTGGATATAAAAGTTCTAGAAACAACATTCAAATATAAATGGAACACAAGCCCTCCACTGGGAGAAATTTAGTTTGCTTACAAAGAACTATGATTCTTTTAAAGATGCTTTCCCTAAGCAGGCAGTATGTGCCAGCAGAAAAGCAAAAAGTTACTCAGTGGGGAAGACTTTCTCCATTTCTCTGATTCATTTAAAGCCCTTTGTCATTTAAAAACCCCTATTCATTCTATTTTTATTGAATAGTACTCACTCGGTAAGCTCTGAGTTTACTTTATTTCTAGTTCCTGTTACATATTCAAGGCCATAGGAAAGGATGAGACTATCTACATGAAATCGGGACAGCGCAGACGGTAAGGCTTAGTTTGCTTTACCTCATTTATAATGATCCAGTGACAGTCAAAAGCAACCAAATTAGTCTCCACAACCTAGAAGAGAAAACAAACCAGCTATCAGTCAGCATTAATCATGAAAACAAAATCAACCAAATGGATGCATTTTGCAAATGGCAAAAAAAATGAATCGCATGTTCGGAAGGTCTTTTTTGTTCAGCTGAAGATGAAAAACCATTAACGAAACACTGTAGACACGTTTGTGTTTGACATATAGACACAGTGTGGACCTGCTGATTAAATTTGAAAATAACCATTCGTCAGAAGTCTGGAGAAACTTAGGTTGCAACAGAAAAAAAAAATACTGTTTCATGATTTAACTGAGAATAGAGTTAAAATCTGTTGCATTCCTTATTCCAAATAAATTTGGATGGTTATTTTCTACATAGTAATTAAGTATGTATCTTTCCGCAATCTGACTGCAACTTGTATTATCTTCTGCTACTTCCGGTGGGGATGCCTGCTACTGTTTTGACTAGGTAAACTACCTTATGTTCTCCTGAAAATCTTTGTGTCATGTGTATTCTGAGAGCCAATTTTAAAAGTACTGAACAGAAAATACTAAAAGCAGTAAACATTATATTAGCATTACGGTAAGGGTAGGAAATTTGAGTAGTTCTCAGATTGCTAATAAGCTGAAAAGAAATTTTTAAAAAATTATGTAAAAGGAAAAGCAAATAATACATAGGTAACAATCCTGGTTGACTAACTTGGGACATATGTATTCTAAATGAACTGTGTGTGTGTGTGTGTGTGTGTGTGTGTGTGTGTGTGGTAAAGGCAGCTTTTGAATCAAGTTTTATATTCTGTAAAATCACATACATATTCTAAGACATGTTTTAATGATTCATGCCATGGATCTATAATAAGTGAGACTATTTTTTTAGAGATTGTTATTTTTAGAAATAATACTCAAAGATGTGGGTTTTAAGTGAAGATGCTTTCTAATAACTAGCAAGGAGCTGTTTTGAAGTGTGAATTGCATTTTGGTGGTTTACTGCATTCCTACTGAGAAATGCCTACAGAAAGATGCATTGAATCATGAGGGCTACATTGGAAATATAGTTGCTATGAGTCTCAATGTGGTGTCAAAGTACCTAATTATGCTCAGAGGCATTGTCTTTTAAATTCTGATTTACGTTTTATGCTATTTCCAGAGAGATCACATTGGTCCCTGTGATCTGACTGAGATAGACAGATAATGCATTAACAGATCTGATATGTATTTTAAAGTTTTACCATTATAAGTTTTTTTTTTTTTAAATTTGTGCACACTGAACTTAATGTAGAAATGAATGACCCATGGCAGTTGTCAGTTTTAGCTAAATAAAAAAAAATTATACCAGTATTGGCAATTCTATTTTTATATTTGATTATATGTCTTTAATCATCTTAGTGACAAATTATTAAAAATTTTCAAACAATAAAAAGCATTAGAGAGTAAGTAGATGGTTCAGCCAGAATGGAACAGGACGTGAAGCACTGCTGTGTGATATGGGAGCCACATGTGAGGCCCAGGCTTGGATCCCTGGTTGACCAGAGCACACTGCCCCGTGACTCTGGCTAGTGGGGCTTTGGGGTGGGGAGTTTTACAATAGTGAGACCTCAACAAGGTTAAACTTTCTCTCTCATGAAAAAAAAGTGTGTGCGTATGTGTGTGTGTATTTTGATAAGTGGGAACTCTATTAGAATTTAAAAGAATACAAACCAGTGACTTAAATAGAAGAAAAGTTGTTTTCTGGAAAATAGAGAGAAATTTTGGGCTGCCAGAAAGGTAATGTTGCATTTTTGTGTAGAAAAACTACATCATGGGGACCAGTAGATGGCAGAATGGTTACATCTCTGGACTCCCATGTAGTTGACCACAGTTTGAATCCTGGACCCAGCAGCTTAAAACTATGCCGGGTGCATATGTGTGCATGTCCAAGATCCCTAGAGGAGAATGGAGGAGAAGGGATTGAGATGTGGCCATCCTCCCTGAGGGGGTGATTTCTTGCTTTTTTTCCCTCACTCTCTGTCTGTCTCTCCAGCAAGCACACATGCCCTACAGCAAAAATCTCTCTTACAAAGAAAAAAAGAAAGAAAAAAATACATCATCATGACCTTTCACACAACCCAGTATGTTGTATGTGGAAGAGGAAAAAAAATCACATGACTGAACTATTCAAAAAGACAATTTAGAGAAAAGCGAAAGCAAGATACAAGTGAAACACACTGAAAACACTTCTGAAGCCACATTAGCAATAAAGTGACGAGATGACTCAGTTTAGTCTTAATGGTCCTCATCTAGATCATCTGTATTATGTGGCCAGATTAAGCCAAATTCAAACAATGACGACTTTGCATTGCCCATAGGAATTGTTACAGAAGTGGTTTTATGCAACAGCGTTTATGAACCAAGTTGAAGGTAGGTGTTCCAATGGTAATTTTTTGGTGATTTGCCTGCATCATAACATTTACTCAGTGAGTCACAGTGTCCTGAAAAAAACTTTCAGGTGAAACTATGAGACAATATCTAGAGATAAGGCTCAATCTTGTTTCAATTAAAAAAAAAATTCAATGATCTCATCTAAGGCCCTGATGCTCCTTGTTGTACTACCTTCTCTGTGGTTCAGGGTCAACAGGGAAATCTCCCCTTCCTGATTGAGATTTTGCCAAGTACTAAAGTATGGTATTAAAGCAGTATAAGGCTATAAGAAGCAAAACTCATTTGTATATTACTGCAGATAAATAAATAACACACTTGTGTTCACAGTCTAAACCTTTACCATAGGTGGGGATCAGATATCTGTGAACTCGTGGTAAGACTAATCAGAAATTCGCCCATCTCTCTCAATACATGCCTTTTTAAAGAAAGCATCTACTGGAGCTCTCAGTTCTCCATTTTTCTTTTCTTTTCTCTCTTTTTCTTTTCTCATCTTTTCTCTTTCTATCTATCTATTATCTATCTATCTATCTATCTATCTATCTATCTATCTATTGTTTAAAGATGTTTTCCTTTGGGTTCATGTGCCACTTGAGAGAGAGACACAGTGAGAGAGAAAATGAGAAATCACCTCCCAGGGGGTGGTCATGCCTCAATCCCTTCTATATCTTGGGCATGCACGCACATGTGCCTGGCATGATTTTCAAACCACTAGGTCTGGGCCTTGAGACACAGTCAACCATGTGGGAGTCCAGGGATGTAATCATTATGCCATCTGCCGACCCCAGCTCTCAGTTCTCCTACTTGATCTCTGTGAGACCAATTATTCTCAAATCAAAGGCCTCAAGAGTCCCGCTGATTTACATTACTAACAAAATAAATACATTGCCCTAAGAACAATGGAATGTTTGCAAAGTTTATCAGAAAAGTTAGACACTATTAAGAACATAAACGTTTAAAGTCATTTCAATTTTTAAGCAAAATTGAGAAATCATGTGGTAGAACCTTCTAGATAATCAATGAAATCTATTCTGCCCTTTCCTTGGGACACTTGATAGGCCAGATTTCCAAAGTCCCATTATGAAGTGGAACCATGAGGCCATGGGCTAGTTCTTGCCAATAGAATGTGAGCAGAAGTTGGGACCAGCAGATGGCATAATGGTTATGTTGCTGGACTCTCACACAGTCGGCCATGGTTCAAGTACCAGACAGGGTGGTGTAAACCTGACACCGGACATCTGTGTGTGCATGCCCAAAATTCCAAGAGGAGAAGGGACTGTGGCATGGCCATCCCTCCTGGGGAGTGATTTCTTGCTTTCTGTCTGTCTCTCAAGCAAGTGTACATACCCTATAGCAAAAATCTCTCAAAAAAGAAGAAGAACATGAGCAGAAGTGATAACTCCACTTTCAACCCTGGCCATAAAACTTCCCACGTGCTTGTATCTGCTCCCGTCTCTTCCAGCTTACTGGGATCACGTCACACCCAGAGGGACCTTGGAAGCCGCAAAAGTGCACCGAAAGAGCCCCTCTTCCCTTCTCTCTGCTGAGCTACTGTGCTGGCCATAAATAAACCTTTGCCACAGTCCATCTTATCTAATGGAAAGCATTTTTATTAATCTAGGCTGTGTATCTTTTCCTAATTTTAGTAAATTTAAATAAACATATTTGCTACTTTCAATTCTACAATTTTATAAAGGCATGATATAAAAATCATTTAATATCTTATGGCTTTTTTTATGAGTAGTGAATATTCAGGACTTTTTTTTAAAGTACATTTTTCTTCGGGGAAGAAAAAGTTATACTAGGCCAGTGCTTAAGAATGAAAATATAGATATGCCTTGTCCCTTTAATTATATACTAAAGCTTACACATATACATAATTGAAATCCATGTAGTGATATTATTGTGATACCGTGTTTTATTTTTTTAAGAATTATTTCTATTTAACTCTATTTAATTAATTAATTATTTATTTCAACTTGACCAGGTCTGGGACTAGAACTGTGGGAGTCCAGCGCCCTTAATCACCACACCACCTGCTGGCCCCGTGATACCGTGTTTCAAAGTGGCTTTACATTTTGTGATTATAATCATGTACACAGAAAGTGAGTGCTCCCATTGTAGATCGGACGAAATGTTCACTGAAAGAGGAGTAGAATTCCCTTAGGTGTAGCTTCACATCTTCATGTATAACCACTAAGCCAGCATGAGTTCTCTGATTTTTTGTAATTGAAAGTTACTGAAATTGAGCCATGTTAAAAAGCCATTAATTAAAAAGTAACTGATACCAGTAATGGAAGAAGCATTAATAGGGGGCACAGAAAGATCAGAGTGAGTTCAAGAGTCAAGACCTTGGAAACCCAGTAGGCTTTGAGTTCTGTCACAGAAATGAGTAGCACAGGTATGGCAGTACAAGAGATACAGACATATGTACATGTATCTTCAGAGGGGTCATGACTTACAGTACAACTTTTCAATGAGGAAAAAATCCACAATAATGTCATCGATGGACCTCATATATTATCAAACGGAACTAATAAAAAGAAATTCTGGGGGCCAGCCTGTGGTGTCGTGGTTAAAGGAGTTGAATCCCACATGGCCAATGCACAGT